TGTAGTCTTCATATCTAGAGGTTGTTTGGATTTTTTAAAGTGTCTTTTGTGCTCAAATATTTACTCTATTTTTCAACATAAGATACATTTATAACAACTGTCTTAATGTTCTTTTTACTACCACAATCGACTGTGCGATTTCTGATTCTGCTTGTAGTGAATGATTATATCCTTACTATGGATCCTATTTCCTGCTTCTTTGTATGCCTGGCAATTTTTAATTGGATGCCAGACACTGTGAACCTTTTCATGATTGCTGGACATTTTTGTATTCCTATAATATTCTTGAGCACTGTACTGTGATTCATTTGAATTATTTGACCCTTCTGATGCTTTTTATAAAGTTTTGTAAAGCAAAATAAAAGCAGCCTTATTTATTTATTTATTTGTCTAAGGTTGACTTTGCCCAGTACTCAGGCAATATCCTTCTGAATATTCTACCTAGTGCTCCATTAATTAGAAGATTTTCCACTCTGGATGGTGGAAACATGAACTATTCCTGGTCCTGCATGAATTCCCGGGATCCTTCCTCTGTGCCTTTGGAATGTTTCTTCCCTGGCCTCGGGTAAGTTAGTCATATACTAGTCAGTACTTATTGAAGATTTAAGGGGGCCCTTTGCTGGCCTCCCATCTTTATCTGTATGCAGCTCTTTTCTCCCCATACTCTGTGAACTCTGGCTTCCTTGGCCTCCTTAAATTCCCAGCTTTACCACCTCATCTCATTGAGACCTCTAGCTTCCGCCAATGTCTCCCTTCCCTGTGCTCTGAAAACTCTCTCCAAGCTGAGGAAATCGCGGGGCTCCTATCATTTTTTCCCATGTCTAGTGGATCACTGTTCTCAGTTACCTGAAGTGCGATGACTATTGTTTCATGTTTTCTCCGGGATTTTAGCTATTTAATGCAAGGAAGGTTAATCTAGTCCTGGTTATTGTATTTTTGACTGGAATTACTTGTTGCTATTTTTGATAAGGGAAACATACATATTCAAAGAGAAAGACTGTGTATAAAGCAGAAATTGAACATTGACGAGAGAGAAAAGAAAATTAATGACTTAATTTCCTAAGGAAAAATACAAAGGGGAAATGATAAAAAGCTGAGATGGGGCTCAACTTTGCCCAGGGGAAGAAATGCTTCTTATGAAACATGAAGTAGCATAGGAACAACAATGAAGCATTGCAGTTTAGATGCAGTCAGTGTTCACTTGGTCAGCTGATTTTGCTCGAGTTCCTATTATACAATGTGAATAAAATTCAGCTGTTTCCTCCAATGAGGAAGAGGGTAGATGGAGAAGGGAGGAAAGTGAGGTGTGATTCCCAGCACAGTTTCTCCCCACTCCACTGCCAGAAAAAACTAAAATCTTTCCAAATCCTCTAACTCATGAGCTTTTCATATTCTTGATAGAAGTAAGGGGTTTATAGATTGCCTAAGCAGCTCACAGTCAGCCCACTTTAGAACTTCTGGTGATCTGATTCACAGCTGACATTGGCATCTGATATCTACCATCTCCTGGTGCCTCCACTGAACTTTTCAATTTAATATCCTGTTATAACACTAACAAGGAATAGGAGACAAGTCAAAATCCAATTTCAGTTCAGTGAGATACTCTCTCTATGTGGATTAAGCACAGCAGGTTATAGAAACACACTGGGTGAGAAAGGGGTCCATACATAATCTTAAATGGGCAGAGAAAGGCTGCCAGAAAGATACGTACCTGTGACCTAAAAGATACAGGAAATAGGTTTCGGATATGGGCGGGGGTAAAAAGAAAAGGATGTTTCACAAAAGAGAGGAGAATGTGTAAAGGTTAGAGGCAGGAGATATTGAAGATATAAGTATATCAATAAGGCTGGCCAGGTGGGAGGGCTCATCAGAAGCCACATGCCAGAAATACCTTGAATGCACTCCAGGGCATCTGTAATTGATCCTGAGAAAAGCAGGGAATTGGAGGTGTTTTAAGTAGAGGAGTGATTAATCAATTTTCTGTTTAGAGATCATTCTGATAGCGATGCAGAAAATGTAACAGAGGGAAATTCACTGTCAGAAGCATATTCCTTGTGAGAAAAGCATTGTGAGAGGGATAGTGAGAGTCAGAACAGTGGGAATGGAAAGTGGATACATTCTAGAAAATAAAATGGTAGCACTGTCAGAACCTGATAACTGATTAAATATGTGTCATGAGAAGGAGGTACCTAGGGAAACACCCAGGTGTTTGTCTTGGATAACTGGATTGATGGCAGTGTTTTCAATGAAACGAGTATTACTGGTTAGATGTCCTAAAACATCTTGTAAACTAAAAGAAACTATGGAAGGGTGGAATAGCCCAAATTTGCTTTCATTTGGTGAACATAATGCCTACTTGTGACAGGCACAAAGACAAGTAAAACAAAAGAAGCTGTGGAATAAGAACTAAGAGATATGTTGCCAGGCCTGGGGGTGAGGGTGAGGTAAGAGGAAAGTGACAGCTGGGAATCCCCAAGGCCCAGCCAAGGTTAGACAACATGAATTAGTAGTGAAACCAAGAGTCTTCATTATTACCTTCTTTCGGCAACCCTTAGCAGTATGATGAATGGTTCAGAGAGGCCAGATGTAGATTGTGGGTTGAACTCAAGCTGAAGAATATGGAAGGTGAAAGTAAGTTGGAGTTAAGTACAAGAAGGGAAGCAATGTGGGACCAATACGAGCATCACTAAAATGCTTTCCCGTAATCACAGGCTGGATGTGGAAGCTAGAAAAGCTAGAAGGGGGCCCAATAAGAAGATATGAGGGATGGAAAGGCTGGAGGCTGAAGAACTGGGGATAAAAGCAAGAGATCAATAGGAGACAGACATCAGAATGTCAGCATCCAAGAGAATGGCAGAAGCAAAATTCTCAATCATAAGGTGAGAATTTATTGAAGCCAGCAAGTAGTTGTGAGTCAAGATCATTGAAAGTATTATAATATGAATGTTGACATTCCATAAAAATGGAGTTCAAAGTAAGTCTATGAGCTGGGTTAAAGTTATGCTGGAAATCAGAAACCACAGAAACAGGATGGGAAACGAACAGAAAGGTGAAACTGTTAAGAGCTCACAGTTAGTGTCCTGCAGGAAGAGATGAAGGGGTGGGGTGGGGTGGAGTGGAGTGGAGCTAAGTGTGTTTTCTTCCTTTGATTTGAGAGGTGTTGCCTTCACTAGAAGGAAATTGGTATTATCAAGAACAAACAGGTGTTGGTAGTGATGATAAGAGGAAAAAAGTTCTAGAAAAGGGCTCTTTTTCAAGGAGATGATATGTTACAATAACAGAGCGCTCATTAACAACCTTTTTGTGCCACTGTTCACTGTGAAAGCAGGAAGTGGATGCAAAGCAAGGATGGCTGAGGATACGCAGTACAGCAGTGAAGGTGGTGCAGTAAGAAACACAGTGAAAGTGTTCTCCTAGGTGGCAATGTTAAAATAAGCTCACTTGAGACTCTTCTGAATCATTAGCCCTTCTAGAAACACCAAGGACATATTAAGTTCATTCACTAAAACATTTTGGGCATATTGTAGTTGCAGATTATCTCCATGATTACTTCTTTCAAGTCTTTTCTTTGAACATTTTTAAGTGCTTCTTGAGAATTCTTAGGCAGACAATAAAACAGAAAGATCATCCCCTGCCAATCAGAGTTTGAACACAGAAAGGGCTCATTGATCAAATGAATCAATGCAGAAAACGTAAAATTTCCTATTAAATAAACACCACACATTAAATACCAGAAAGTGGTGACTAACAGGTGGAGAGAGGAGGGATATACAAAAGGTTTCACCCACACCCTGTTTTGTGGTTTTTACCCAGATGCCACCACCACACCTATGAGTTTCACCTATTAAAATAATAGAGAAGTAGAGTAACTAGAATCTGCTGACCAGAGTATAGTTCTAAATACAGTTCCTCAAAGACTAAACCTGACAGACAAGGTCAGGATTCAACTTGGAGAATGTCTGATGACATTAGCTAATGTTTTTTTCCAACCTAGTTTACCTGTGTGTGCTGATGTGTGTGGATTTGCTCATGTTGAGTAGATCTTTGAGAAAATTAAGCTTATCTCCTCTATTGCACTTACAAAATGTTAACGTTAAAACCAAAGACAAAATGGACATAAATGTGATAAACTAGAGTAGGGAATTCGAACCATACATAGAATCCTTAAAAAAAAAAATTCCTTAAGCATTTAAAAGGCAAAAAGCAAGTAATTTTATACCAGTGAAATTAATAATTAAAAGTTTTATGTAAAAAAAAATAATAAACCCATGGAACATTGTGTGTCCACTGAGCAGTTACACATGCGTGTGTAAGGAAAAGAACCGTCATCATATCAGCTAGCATTTAAGGAGCTTACTGAGCGCTAAACTCTTTTCATGTTATTTGATCTAATCAGAGCGTCTGTGCCAGCGGATTTCACATCCCCGTTTCACGGACGAGGACACCGCAGGTGCACAAAGCAGCCACTGACCTGCACGGACCCTGCGCCAGCGGCTGCTGCAGCTGACTCATCCAACTCCCACGTGCGACGCTGCCCGAGTGGCATTTAAAAAGATCCCACTCGAGTCCCATTTAAAATATATGCACCCCGCTTTTTACGTGTAATTGGTGACCTCGATTTTACCTTCTGAGTCACAGTCCCAAACCTGCGTATCTGTCAAATTGAGCACAGTGGGCGAGGGCGCGCAGTGAGAGTTGGGGAACAGACAGGTGGAGAGCACAGGTGCAGACTAAAGGGAGGGCTCGAAGGTAAAATAGCGACCAGGGGTGTGGGGCCGCGCAGGGAGACGCCGGGACAGCGCTGGCGCCGGCCCGCGGAGCAAGAGGCGAGGACTGCGGGGCTGGGACGACCGCACCTGGCGGCGGCCGCACCTGTGCACGTGACTGCGAGCCGCTCGAGCGCCCGGGCGGAGCCGTGCTCACCTGGGCCCACGTGACGGGGCGGGGCCCGAGGACCCCACGGCCACGCCTCCTCCCGCGGGGCGCGCCTGGACCCCGCGGAGCCGAGCGGCGGCGGCGGCGGCGGCGGGAGCCCGGGAGGCGGAGGCGGGCGGCGGCGGCGGCGGCGGCGCGCGGAGACGCAGCAGCGGCAGCGGCAGCATGTCGGCCGGCGGAGCGTCAGTCCCGCCGCCCCCGAACCCCGCCGTGTCCTTCCCGGCGCCTCGGGTCACCCTGCCCGCCGGGCCCGACATCCTGCGGACCTATTCGGGCGCCTTCGTCTGCCTGGAGATTGTAAGTGGGGCCGCCGGGGCGAGGGTCGCGCGGGAAGCGAGGACGGGCGGCGGCATCCTTGTCCCCCGGGCTGTCCTCCTCTGCGCCCGCCTCGGCTTCTTCCCTTCGACTTGGCCTTTTCCTGCGCCCCCTCCCGGGGTCCTCTTGGTGCCCTGCGCCGCCGCCCGGGCCCTCCCGCCTGGCACCTGTTAACGCGGGCACCTGCTCCCCCGCGGGCGACGGAAATGGCCTGGGGAGAGCGAGCAGGCTGCTCAGCAGGGCTGAACACTTGGGGACGTGGAAAGGAGAAAGGTGTTGGGGCTCGGAGGCGCCTTTAGAAACCCAGGGCTCGGCCAGGGGCCGGGCTTGGCTGGAGTAAGCTCCTGGCTTTCGGCCGGCCTGGCCTGTTGCTAACCTGCCATTTTGTTGGGTGGTGCAAAGGTGTAGCCTGTGACTGGGTGACCTGGAGGCTGCCACGCCGTGGGAAGTCGGGGCCGAGGACTTGAGCATGCTTTTCCCCACTCACCCTTGCCATCATTAGTGCCCTTTGGGTTGGAAAGAGGAGCTGGGCAGGAGGCAGGGCAAAGAGAAAGGTGAGATATGTGCCATGCCCTTGGCAGTTTCGAATCCGGTGGACGCAAGAATGGTGGGGGAAAGGTGGAAACGTGGCTGTCGCGTTCTTCCCTGCCTGTCTTTGTACCAACTCACTCACTTGTCCTCTATGCAACTCCAAGGCTTTTCAGCACACTTCGTTGGGCCCAAGTAAAGGCGGGGTCATCTGCCTGCCGTGGAACCTTTTTAGGTGGCACTTGAACTTTTTAAATGGAATTTTATGGAGCTGGAAACTTTCGAAGCTCCTTGTGGACAAGGAGAAAATGTGCAAATATAAATTGGGCAACCTGAGGTTGCATCATGCCCTGAGAATGGCAAATAGAGAACTGTTAGCGAGTTAGTGCCTTTCTGGCAGGCTGGTGGTGTTTGCTGGGGTTAGGATTTTCATCTCTCCCCTCACCCTCGCCTTTTGAGTTTGCATAACCTGGATTTGGGTCTCTTTGGTTTCGTTTTTCTGCTTGTGGAGCTGGAACACCTTATGAGCACTGTTCTATTACGCTAAGGCAACCAAACCACCCTACGTTAAGTTTAGCCCAGATTTGAATCTGAAAGAGGACATGTGAGTGAGTTGCAGGCGATGACATAAGTAATGGGATCCTGACTGCGAGGCTGGTTTGAGTTTGAGCCTGGTTCAGAAGCATCTGAAGTGCTTAGGATGAGGTGCAAGCATCCATGTGGGAAGAATGGAGAGAGGATGGCATTGGGCTGGCTGCCTTGCTGTGGGAGGGAGACATGTTTAGAACAGGAGGATATGCAAGGAACGATTTCTTAGGTTCTCGGCTACTTTATTCCGTGTTCTACAAGCTTTGCCTACCTCTCTGAGAGGCAAAAGTTTTTTGTCTACCTCTTGGAGAAGTTTTTGCCCTATCTGCATTCCATCTGTCTGTCCTAGAATTTACAGACAGTTCATTGAAATACTTTCTATGCCTCAGTACTTTATCCTCTTCTTAAGCAGTAATATACATGAAATTTCAAATTTGATATTCTGGTTATATTTTTCTAATGTTTAGTCAAATGTATATGTAAAGATACATATATGTAAATATATGCATATGTATATGCAAAGAAGGCTTATCCATGCGCCATCTAATCAATACCATCTCAAGAACCTGTAGTCATGTCAGACTTTTAGAAAACAAGGCCTAATTCTGAGGAAAAAGTAGAAAGTGACTTACTCAATTTTCCCTTCCCCCTACCCCGTTATATCTTTTTAAAATCTAGCTCAGTGGTTAGTTCTCAATTCTTGCTGTACTTAATAACTTGGACAGCTTTTTAAAGTACTGTTGCCAGCCCAGACTAATTAAATAAGAATCTCTGGGGGAGTGCCAGAGTTCACTAGTTATTTTTTAAAGCTTCCCTGGAGATTCTAATATTCAGACTGTAATATACAGCAGGGAAGCACTGTAGAGAAGACAGCTCTGCTCTCACAGATGTGAATTCTCTCTACTGCTAAAACTTCCACCACTCCCCAACCTAGAAGGGATCCCAGACTCACAGCAGTGTCCAGTCTATTCCTTTTATCTCAATTCCTCTGGCCTCTTAACCTCCTGAAACATGCCTCACACTCTTGGCCAGGTTGAACATCATCACTTTCAAAAGCTTATCAGTTTGCTTTTCTCTTTTTATGGCCAACTCAATAAGTTTACATTTTAGGCCCCCTTTAACTCCTTTATTTGAATATCAGTCTCCCCACCCCATTGAAAAATGACTAAAATGTTCCAATGAAACTGGTGACCTTAGAGAAAAAGGAGACCACACTAGAGTCAAACTACAGCTCCTCAGCTCTCATCCTTTAGGACTGTTTAGAGAAATGGGTTTACATGCTTTAAGAGAGCAGAGCTCAAAGCTGCCGTATTTCTCCTTTATTTAGAATACCCATCTTGAGTGGATGTGCAGCTAGGAGCTGAGTGAACACTTTCGAAACACCTTAGCTCCTAGATGCCTCAGTTTCTCTCTGATTCTTTTAAAATTTTCCATCTCCTATGCTCCTTCCCAAAAATTCCTCAACCTGTAAATTAAATGTGAGTATTTCCCAGGCACAGTCCTAAATGCTAAGTGATCTCTATGCTGGGGACCCGTTATTTTAACCTCTGCCTGCGTTTCTGGATATCCTCAAACTCCATTTTAATTTTGACCTTCTATTCAAATTCATTTGTCTTTAAGAATTCTTCATTTCTGTCCCATTGCCTTCTGAAACTTAACATGTGAAAATTGTACCTGACTGGGCTATCAGTAGTTGACTATGCTACTGGCACCACATTCTTGAAGTCTGGTTCTCACACTAACAATTTAACTTGGCTCGAAGAATTCATTCCCAATCCCCCTTAGTGTACTATATTCACAGTCTCTCAGATGTAAGTCATTTGTTGGGGAGATACTACAAAATATATAAATAGTACCAGTCTCCCAGCACCAGGTAAAGCATTATGGCACTGGCTTCTTAGGTGGAGAATATTACAACTTCACATGCATAGTGATTTTTTTTTCTTCTTTTTTTTAATTGCATTTTAGGTTTGGGGGTACATGTGAAGAACATGCCAGATTGTTGCATAGGTACACACATGGCAGTGTGATTTGCTGCCTTCCTTCCCCTCAGCTATATCTGTCATTTCTCCCCATGCTATCTCTCCCCACCTCCCCACCCCCCATCCCTCCCCCATTTCCCCCCAATGGACCCCAGTGTGTAGTGCTCCCCTCCCCGTGTCCATGTGTTCTCATTGTTCAACACCCACCTATGAGTGAGAGCATGCGGTGTTTGATTTTCTGTTCTTGTGTCAGTTTGCTGAGAATGATGGTTTCCAGGTTCATCCATGTCCCTTTTAAAATAGGTGTGTCCCACTCCTGGATACCTAATTGTCAGCCCCTTGGTTTTGGCCCTAGCAATATTTACCAATGCATACTTGCCACAGACTTTAATACTAAGTTAGTATTGCAAAACTCAGCTTTTTAGTTTAGGATGGCAGACATTACCTTCGGAATTCTCATTTTCAAAATCTCAGTTTTCCGAGTGAATATTTTCTAAAAATCACTCATTGGGCACTTACTGAATACCTACTATGCGCAAGGCACTCCTCTGAGAACAAAGACGTTTAAACCCTTCCTCTCCAGAAAGACCTATAATCTAGTTGAGACTAATACACAAAAGTAACTACCATTCAGGGAAGAAATCATTAAGTATGGGAAGTAGACTGCAGCTAAAACATTTTCCAGGTGGGTCTGTCTACTTTAAAAAATGACAGTGGAGCATCTGTACTATTGGGCTGAACAAGATATTTAGGGTCCCTTTTCTCAATGGGCTTACCTTGTAAAATGCACAAGAAAAAATGAATTTTAATAGTATTAATTGCAAAAAAGAACACAGATCATCATTGAATTTGCTGTGTTTTATTTTACAGTTTCAGCGTTTAAGAAACTACTTATATTTGCCAAGTTATTTATTCACATTTATCTTTGTGAGAGATACTCTAGGACTCTAATTCACATGCTTCTAACTGCAGTGTTTTGGGTGACACCATAGTTTTCATTTACTCGGCATATAATTAAAAACATACTATGCATCAAGCCTTCTTTTATGCCCTGAAAATAGAGCAACTAACATAGCCCCTGCCCCTAAAAGAAATTACTGTTTGGTGGAATATAAAGTCATGAAAAAATTACAGTGCGGTGTATGAAGTGCTAATATAGGTTTATAAGAAATATTGTGGAAAAGCAGGGTAGAGTACGTCTGACTTCTGGAGAGGCCAGAACAAGCAGCTTTAATAAGTGGGGACATTTGAGGTTAGCCTTCAATGATGAGCCATAGTTTATTAGAAAATGGGAAAGAGAATTCCAGGTAGAAAAAAGGACATGTGCAAACATGGAGAGAGGAAGGACAATGACGAGAACGTTCTGTCAGTTGTGAGATTTTGGTGGGCAGATCAGGTTCTGGTTTGCTGAGAAGTGCTAGGCCAAGGCATTGGATTTCTTATCTGTGATGGTAAGCTGCTGAAGGACAGGGATAAACTTGATCCAACTTGTGTCTTGGAAACCTTTGAGCGATAAAGTTCGGTGGTAAAAGAAAGAGATTGAGGGCAGCGGGGAGCAGTTAGGGGGCCTATTGCAATTGTTTAGAGAAGGGATGAAAAGAACGTGAAACAGGACCAAGGAAAGAAGGATAGAGAAGCCGAGAGAGAGGTTTGAGGTTTCAGAAGTTAACTAAGCATGTAAAGTTTGACTTGCCCCAAAATGAAACCTGGATTAAACTTAAATATAAGATGTAACTCAGAGGAATTATGCCAGAAAAAAAAATGTTAATGAAAGGATGATTGTGAGGGAGGGGCTGTGGGAGAGGCAGGTGCAGTCATGCAGATAAATCTATGGAAGGGACTTCAAGTTATTTTCAACTGAAAGCTTTGACTTTGGACTAGATA